CCCCAAAACCCCAAAAACCCCAAAACCCCAAAACCCCAAAACCCCTAGTTTCAATTTAAACAAAATTTTGAAATCTTGAGAAAATAATTGTTAATATAAATTATAAAATATGTCTAAACAGTTACTTATCAATGAAAGACCCTCTGATAATGGTCCATCTTACGGTGGAGGTGGAGATTTCGGAGGCGGCGGTGGAGACTGGCCTAAAGCCTCAATTGGTAACTACAAGGGAGTCATGCTTTGCAATAGACCCAACGAACTGGGTCAGCAAAGAAAGCCAGATCGTGCGAATCTACCATTCAACTCTCGTGTGATGCCCGAGGAGCCTGTCGGTTGGAACCCCACTAAGAAGTTGTTCCCAAAGACCAGCAAGAAAAAGATAGATCCTAATAACATCCTGTTCAAGCATAAGCGCTTCCTAAAGAACCTTGAGGACTAGAAATATAGAGAGAAAGAGGAGCAAGAACGCACCTAATAAGAAAAGGAAGAAAAAAAGAAAAAATTCATTGAGACCGCTGCAGTCCAGAGGAAAAAGATCAAGGAGTTAAAGAAAGATGAAAATGGAAACGTCATCTAGGAGGCAGAGTACGAGGATGAGCTGCCAAAGGCAAGACTTACTGAAGAAAATCTTAAGAAGTAGGATGTGATTTCATAAAAGAGTGCTCAGCAATAGAAATCTTAGGTTAGCAAAAGAAATAAACAAAAGCCAGCATGGGCTAAAACTGAATAGGAATTGGAAGATGAAAAGGAAAAGGAAATCGATAATTTATTGGAGTTTGCCTATGAGTTAGATTATGAGAAGTTCATGGATGATTTTGAGGTCAGACAGGCACTTGCAATCATTAAGGATAGAGTTCAGGAAATAAAGAAAGATGAAGACTGGAAGGCAAAGATGGCTAAGGAATGGAATGATGCTGCAGCTGAAGATGAGGGTGGTGATTATCAAAATGCCTACAACCCAACTAAGAAGAATGATGATGATGCCAAGTCTCATGCCACTAGTTTCAAGAGTGCTAAGACTGGCATGTCAAAGGGCAGTTTAAGATCTTAGGTCGAGAAGGCAGTCCAAGAACAGGGCAGACCTGAGTGGGACTAATCTGTTAAATCACAAAAGATGACCACTGAAGAGCGTGTTGCTAACCGTTTGGCTAACGAAGTGCTGAAAGATAATGCCAAGCTCAGAGGTGTCCACTCCAATCAATCTATCCAAAAACTACTTATGAAGGAAGCCAAGAGATAGTTAATGGAGGGTGGCGAATATAAGGGACCTGTTATCTAGGTCATCAAGGAGAAGGAGTTGAAGGAACCCGGATAAGATTACAGTAATCTGCCTTACCTACACAAAAACCCAGCCGTCTGATTGAATCATCATCTAGCCTACATATATTTCATATAATTTAGATTAATAATGATATTTAAGATTCATATCATATTCTTTTGCTATGGGGTTTTGGGGTTTTGGGGTTTTGGGG